AAAGATGCATATGCCAACATCTGAGTGTTAGTTGCATTAAAAATGACTGTTTCTGTATGAACCAATATATTTTCAAAAGAAATGGAGATCTTTTTTTAAAGGTTAAAAACCTCATTAAATTTTATGTCTTATAGGGTTTATACTGAGTACAATATTGTATAACTGTATTAATTCAACTGTAAACCTAAAAATTTACAAGAGATACATCTTAGCTCTGGAAATTGTTATTGAATATGTCAATGCTGTTGTAATGAAATGCTTCTAATTATATGGTTATTAAATAATTAAAAAAACAGAAAATCAGAAAAAGGGCCAAGCTTTGAAGGGAAGCTTATGAGTCTGTTATTTATAGCCATGACTTATGGAGATGTGCTAGCTCCAGGGGGTCAAAAGAAAGGCAGAGAGAAGAAAACTTCACCTTGATATCAGCTCTGAGTTCAACCAACTGCTCCTCTGACATTTGTACAGCCACATCGGTCATCTTCTTGAGAAGTTCTGCTTTCTTTTGCCTGCTGAGCAAAATGTCCACTGTCGAAGAAAAAGGAGCATGAATCTTATGCTGCTGCTAAATGAGATAAAGAACCAGAAGTCTAAGCCCTGCAGTGTGTATGCAGACAGCCAAGGGCTTAGCTGACCACCCATCCAGAAAAGTGAAAATACTGAAGGCCCAGTTTCTACCTTGGGGGTCTCTGAAGGCAGTTAAAAGATAAACATTTCTTATGAATCAAACAAACTCATAAATCACTTGTCATTTCTCTTTCTTCTCTTTTTAGCGAAAAAGCTATTTTCTCAAGAAGCATGTAAAGACAGAAATATGCTTAGTACACGGCAAAAATTTCATCTAGAACAAATGAGTACAAAATGCAAAGCAAAAGTATCCCTCCTGCTTCTGATCTATAGAGAGAACCACTGCTAACAAACCCTTATGCATAGCAAATACTGGTTATGTGTGTACCACATGTACCCCTCTCTCCTAGGATTCAGAGTCTGTTAAAGATACAATTTTTCCTTTACTTCAGCTACTATTAATATATTTTGGTGTTCATTTTTCACTGGCGTTATCAATCACCTTTACTCAGCTATCTCCTATAGAGATAGAACACAATTATTTATCCCCTACCAATGTTCTTACAACTGTTTAAAAAGCACCTGCTCTATGACTATGATAAATAACAGACAAAAAAGATTCTTCCATGGACCATGGGCAAAAGAAATCGCCCTACTAAGCTTGGCCAGGAGCTGTCTGGTAGGCTCTTTGCTCTTTCTGTCCAGCAAGGCTATTTATTTTGAGGCAGCATCTCATTCTTTGTCTAAGGTGGCCTGGAACTCACTGGTAGCCCAGTTACTGGAATTATACACATAAGCTCTGTCCTACAAGATTTGATCATTCTAAGTGGGAATGTTCATTACAATTATTCTCCTCTTTTTCTATATAATACTGGGAAGGGGCACTTTTCTTTCAGTTTATAGGCACCCCAAAGCACATCTAGACCTGATAAAAAGATCTGAAGTTATTCGGAAGGTGTGGTCATTTAGATAAAGGTTAACCAGGTAGACTTTACAATTGCTGCCATTCAGATGGAAATGAAGATTTCAGTAAAAAGAGGGCTACTGGGTAGCTGAAGGAGCTATTAGTCCAATGACTATTCCTATCGGAAGCCCAATTACCTGCTGACAACACTTAAGCCACGTGTGATGGGTGACTCATGCTGATAATCTCGGCATTTGGGCAGCTAAGGCAGGAGGTTTGTGAGTTCAAGGCCAGGCTGGGCCACATATTGAGTTCCAGACTAGCCTCAGCTACACAGGAAGACCATCTCAAGAAATTGAACCAAACAGAACTGAATGAAACCCCAACAAAAATGTTGAGTACCAACATGCTTAGGTAAAAACCCAAGATGTCATTGTTGGAAATGGTAGTCACATATTATAGTTCAGCCACAGACATAAGCAGGATTCCCAAGGTGGGGCACACAGAAAGCTCTAATTTAAAGAGTCAAGTAAATGTTTTGCCCCTCCCTGACTGAAACTTTCTGAGTTAACTTTTGACCAGAAGCACACTATAATAATGGGTCCCTAATGTCACCTTAGACACAGCCTACTAGCTATGGATTATCTCTGGATAACACATTTATTTAGGTCATTCTATTGCATGTCGTCAAACTCAATCCTTAACTGATACACATATAGATTTACACCAGGGCTGGAAGATCGCTCAGTCAGTAAAGTGTTTGCCTTGTAAGCAAGGAAATCTGAGTGACATCTCAAGAAACCAAGTAAGAAAGCTGGGCAAGGTGGCTGGCACTGGTAATTCCAGTGTTAGGGAGGCAGGGACAGGGGAATCCCTAAGGCTCAATGGCCAGTCATTCTGGCCTATTTGACAAACATCAGGCCAGTGAAAAATCTTGGTGCAGATGGGGGGAGGGGGACTAGATATGATTAAGATGTATTATATAAAATGTACAAAATTTAATAAAGAATATATATCAAAACAAAACAAAGAAACAAGATTGATGGCACCTGAGGAATAACATCTGAGGTTAACCCCTAACCTGCACATACAGGTGAATGCACAGACACAAGTGCTTACACACACACATGCACACACAAAGAATTTTGTATACTACTGAGAAGTTAGCCAAACTTATATTAGAAAATAAATTTAATTTTCGAAGAGCTCTATCAGGTGGTATTACAGAAATGTGGAATGTCTTTGTCACACATGGCACCTGAGATGGGCACAGCAGTTAAAACAGTTAAAAAAAAAAAAAAGGGCCAGGCGTGGTAGCACACACCTTTAATCCCAGCACTTGGGAGACAGAGACAGGCAGATCTCTGTGAGTTCAATGCCAGCCTGGTCTACATAGTGAGTTCCAGACCAGCTGGGGCTATAGGGAAGGAGACTCCAAGGAGCTGGAGAGACAGCCCAGTGGTTAAGAGAACTGGCTGCTCTTACAGAGGACCTGTCCTGGATTTGGTTCCTAGCACCCATATGGCATCTCACAAATGGCTCTAGTTCCAGGGGACCCTATGCCCTCTTCTGGCCTCTTCGGGCACTGCATGATGTGTGTACTTCGTGGGCAAAAACACATAAAATATTTTAAAATTTGCAAAACTACCCCCCCAAGTCCCCCATGTGCTTTGTTTTTGTGCTACTAACTGAACTTATACACATACTAAGCAAGCACTCTACCACTGAGCTATAGTCCCAATCCAAAAACATGTTTATGAAAGTTTTCTGTTTGTTGTTTTGTTTTAGAGGCTCCCAGGTAGCCTAGGCTAGCCTCAAACTTGCTACATACTTAAGAATGACCTTGAACTTTTGATCCACCTACCTCTGCCTCCTCAGTCCTGGGATTATAGGCATGTTGCCATCATGAACAGTCAATACTTACAAAAGTTTCTAAACACTGACTCGTGTGTGTGTGTGTGTGTGTGTGTATGTGTGTGTGTGTGTGAGATTCCTCAGGTGTCATCTATTTCTTTTTCCTTTGAGACATGGTTTCACTGGCCTGAAACTTGCCCCAGGGATCTGACTGACTGCTTTACCAGAGATGGGATTATAAACCCATGCTGGTACACCTTGCTGTTAAAATGTAGGTTCTTGGGGAGGGGCAGAAAAAAATGAAAATAAAATGTGGGCTCTCGTCGGGCATGGTGGTGCATGCCTTTAGTCCCAGCACTCAGGAAGCAGAGGGAAACTGATCTTTGTGAGTTCGAGGGCAGCTTGGTCTACACAGTGAGTTCAAGGCCAGCTGGGATTTCACAGAGATCTGCCTAACTCTGCCTCCCAAGTGCTGGGATTAAAGGCGTGTGCTCCATCATGTGCTATCATGCCCAGCACAAGTTTCTTTATATATCAAATAACTGGCAAAACCTACTTCAAAGGGTTGATGCAAAGATCACATATATGTATGAAAAAATTCTGAACAGTGAAGTGCTAAAGTACTTTCTTGACAGTATTGGTAAAGGAACTATCACATAATATCATTGAGGACCAGAATTTTCAGGGAGAGAGAAGAGAAAACTGATGAAGGTAAAAAATTTTTAATTAAAAAAAAATTTTTTTTTTGGTCTTTTTGAGACAGGGTCTCCCTGTAGCCCCAGCTGTCCTGGAACTCATTATGTAGACCAGGCTGGCCTTGAACTCACAGAGATCCGCCTGCCTCTGCCTCCCGAGTGCTGGGACTAAAGGCATGCATGTGCCACCATGCCCGGCTTAATTTTCATTTTTTATGTGTATGAGTGTTATGCCTGCATGTAGGTAAGTGCACCCGTGTCATGCAATGCCTGAGAAGGACAGAAGAGGCTTTTGGATGCCCTGGAACTGGAGTTATGGACAGTTGTTTAGCTGCCATGTGGGTGTTGGGATTCAAACCCAGGTCTTCTGCAAGAACAGTCAGTGTTAACTGCTGAGCCATCTCCCCAGCCCCCAATAAGGTAAAATTTTACAGCTCTTAATTTGATAATAAAAGTGCTGGACATGATGGTGCATGCCTTTAATCCCAGCAGAGGCAGGTGGATCTCTGTGAGTTCAAGGGCAGCCTCGTTTTCAATAGGGGGTCCACGCCGGGTGGGGGTGCGGGGGGGCCCCTTTTCAAAAAAACAAAAAAAAAAAAAAAAAAAAAATTAGAACTCTCCACTAATAAGCCCCAAGTCAATGCCATTGTTTTATTTTGAGTTGGTATTTCTTCTTGTTTTTAATTTAACTTAATGTTTTTAAGGTAGGATCTCATTGTGTAGCCCAGGCTGGCCTCTAACTCACAGGGATTCACCTGCCACTGTCTCTGGAGTACTGGGATTAAAGGCGTTCACAAAATAAAAAAACCAAGACATTTGCAGGACACTTCATTTTCCTAAGGTTGATGCTTTTGATGGCATCACACACTCTGATAGACTGAATTCAAAATTAAACTACTAAAATGGGGGGGGGGGTTAAAAGACTTAACAAAAAAAATTCATATGCCAGCACAGTATAATTCCTCAAAGCTGGTTAAACATATAAACTCTTTTTATTTTATTGACTGTTTAATCTATAAACTTTAAAAAAATATTTATTTATTATTTTTATGTGTATGCGTGTATTGCCTGCATGTAGGTAAGTGCACCCGTGTCATGCAATGCCTGTGGAGATCAGAAGAGGCTGCTGGATCCCCTGGAACTGGAGTTACGGACAGTTGTTAAGCTGCCATGTGGGTGCTGGGATTTGAACCCGGGTCTTCTGCAAGAACAACCAGTGTTCTTAACCGCTGCACCATCTCTCCAGCCCCCATTAATCTATAAACTCTTAATGGAGATATTCATACTAAGTAAGCTTTCGTTGTGAAGGTTGAGAGGCAGGAACCTACTATTTGTATACGTAATAGCTTTACTTATCAATCGTCTTACTGGCTTCAGCTTTCACTTTGTCCATTTCAGCAAGCAACGCCACCTCTCGATCCATCAAACTAAGAAAAAAATGACAAAGGGGAAAAAGGGTAGATCAGAAACTCAAACAGCAAACCAGTACATTATTAATACGGAGACAGGCAAGTTTGTACAACAAAAGCACTCTCAGATACTGTACGAACCACATGGGAAGTCTGACACCTTACACTCAACAAAGAATATACATACATATATATA